CACACAGGGACCTGCTTGCCAGGAGCTACAACTCACCTGTGCAACTGGTGCCCTGGAAATGAACTGCTGCAACAGGACCTACTGGGAAAGTTCCTGTGATTCAGAAAGCATAAACATCAGCTTCCCTGCAGCTTCCAGGTGCAATCCAGGGAGCAGTCAGTCCTCTACAACAAGCAACATTATAACGGCTCAAGGACCTTGGAAACATTTCAGTTTGGTTTTTTTCTACAAAACATTCTGTACTGTCAGTCACCTTTGGGTGAAAACAGCCAAAACACACAAGCCTGCCCAATTGCAGGCAAAGCATCACAAGAGCAATAGCTTCTGCAGTTTCGTCCACAACAATTAAAGATCTCTCAGAGTTTGATAAGACTTGCTGTGATACACAGCATTTCAACCCTCATCTGTCCTTCACCATCCCTTGACATCTACAGAAACTAGGATAGTAACACTTGCCCAATATTACCTTCTGTCATGATGTTCTTCTCTGATGAGAATCAACTCCCAGAAGCATTTGATGAGCCTCAGTTGGGATGAATGAGGCAGTTTAGATCCCTGAGATGCTGCAGGAGACTTTCTGAACACAGGAATACATCCCTATGCCAGCTATTCTCTTACCAGGTTTTCATGATTTTTCTGTTGGATTCCAAGGGGAAAAAGGAGTTTTTGTTATATTACACTTGAAACTTTAGTACTGCAGAAGGCAAATTTGGTTCAGGGGCACAGATTATACAGGCTGGCAAGTGTCCTCACTCTAGTCCACTCAAATGCTGGTGGCAAAGCCATTGTCACTGACGTGTCCTTGCTGGTGCTGCATGTCCTGGTGTGCATCACTGCAGCTTCTGGCATCCCCACACACACCCACTTCTGCCATGGCAAATGAGACCTGGATTTACAGCAGTGACACACAGGTGCCTGCATGGTGAACTGTAAAAGCACGGCAGGTTGGCAGCCTGTAAGTCTTATTAGGGATTTCAAACAACTCAGGACAGGTGGTGGTTTGATGGCTGTGGGTACGGAGGGTGACAGCAGCAGATTCAGTTCCTGTTGGTAACAACAGTGATTAGACTGTCTGCGCCCACAGCTACACAGGATAGAGCATATATAGAAAAAATCCTCTCACACAGAGACCAAAACTAAGGACAGGCAGCTTCAAGTACATGATCTTGGGTTATATCATTCACAACAATGAATTGTTGCCCCATGACATGATTCTTGTCAGATTTTGTGGATAACAAACGCCTCTGGTTAAGGAGGGACCAGTCTGCTTTCTGCCACTAAGAACCAATAAGATGCCCCACTTTACTTGTACTTTCTGCCTGAACAGTGACTCTGCAGGCCCTGTATATAAATCCCCCTGCTCTGAAGAAGATACCACGTAGTTTCATCAGAATATCTTTGCTATATGTCATCAATTTTAATTCCAACCTGTACTTTAATATGCACATAACTATTTTCAAATACAAGGAAATCTTGAAGTCAACAGCATCAGAGCTTTCAGTAAATCCTTCACAACTTCAGAAAAATCTCTATAAACATTGTGTAAAGTAGATACAGAATGTACAGAGAACAGTTTTCTATACAAAAGTGCATTTTAGCATTACAATTAGCAGAGAACCGGGGCAGGGAAAAAAATCAATTTAAGCAATACCATATACTCTAATATATACCCTCACCTCTCCCCCTAAAAAAAGACAAAAAAAAATCAGACCCCCCACTTTCCCCTTGCTTTGGTTATGAACTATATTCAAGGCTTCAATATTACAATTTTTTTTTACACTGAAGAATTTATTTGTCATTTGGAAATGTTTTAAAGTTAGCCAGATGAGAGAGAATGCAAGTATGATTCATCAGAGTTAATAGTCAAAATATACAAGCTTTGAATATTACTAGGATGTGCCCTTGACAGATTAATAAACTATCTTTGCAATCCTTAAATGGACAACTGCATGTTGACTTCTCTATGCTCAAGAACTGCAAGATCAGTAAGCTTAAGAATATTAAACCAATAAATCTAACAACAATTGCCATGAAAATCTGGCTTATAAGAATGAACTGTAAGAGTTCCCAAAACAGTTGGGTTTATTAATATTTATAGACCAATGCATCAGCTGATTTCAAAGTTGAAAGAGTGTTAAGAGAAAAGAAATGGCTTCAGGCCATTCAGCATAGATGAACAGTAAATACTGCCATTTTTATATGTTTCTATATTGTATATGCATTCTGATGTAAATGCATGTACTTAAGTTCAAGTAGGTTGGTTTGGGTTTTTCCCCCCAGAGAATGATCTTCACAGGTTTCAAACCACAACAGGAGAACCAAAATTTAGGCCCAAGAAAGTCTTGCAAAGAATTTTCTTGCTCTTTCAAGTAAGCACCCCATACTGAGCATACTGTAAGCATCTTTTTATCAGTTTCCCAGATAAAGAAAAATAGATATCTTAACAGAAACAAAAGATGACATTAGATACACACACAGAAATCAACCAGGTTTGTCAGGTAGCTTTCTTCCTCATATTTAAAATCATATTAGAAAAGAATGTTCTCTACTGTTTACAGTCTTATTGCAATCAAACTTTCAGTGCTCCTTCTAAGCCTTTATAGAGAAAAAGTTACCATGGAAGCAAACCGTTACCTTTACAGAGTGTAAATTAATTACATTCATATTGCAGTGGGTACAAAGCTCCTACATACACAGCTTCAGTACCATGGAACCATATAACTCTGAGCTTTTTCCTGTGTGCCTCTATGTTACTTTTAAGCTTGACATTTGTGCTCTGTGAATAAAAAGCAGAGATTTGATTTAAAAAAAAAAAAAAAAACAAACATACTAATAAGAATGCATTATTTTAGCAGTCTGTTACTCTTCACCTGAACCCAGTAATCTACAGCTGTAGCCACAATGGCCAACACTTAAATTGGCAAGACCGGGTTTAACTAAAATTCCAACTGTTTGACTAATGCCATGGGTATTTAACATAAATTCATAGAATCATTTAGATTGGAAAAGACCTTTTAAGATCATCAATTCCAACTCTAAATCTAACACTGCCAAGTCCACCACTAAACCACGCCCTTAAGTGCCACATTTACGTGTCTTTTAAACACGCCCGGGGACGGGGTCTTCCTGGGTAAGCACAGAGCACAAAGCAGGGAAAGACAGGATTCTGACCAAAAACCTCCCCCACCACAAATTGAGCATGTCACTAGAACTATGGAGGATGAGAAAACAAAAGGGAAAAAAACCCAAATGTGAGAACTCTTGAATCCCACAGCTACTTCAGGCCTAATTCTCTGAGATCAAAGACAACATTATATCTCTGAGTACTTGGCAAAGAACATTCAGGCAAGATGTTATTCTGCATTCTTACCGGAACATTCAGAGTTTTGTATTCTTATGTTATAAGCATCCTGGGTCTATGAGATCACAAAGCTATAAATTACTACCATGGAATCCCTGGAAATCCACTCTCTTCTTTCATTTCTACTGTCACACAAGTGATTGAAGTACCTGCTGGAGACAACACACCACTATCAGCTATTGTGGCACCCAGGACCTTTTCATCCAATGTGACAAGAAACTGGACCCATTTAATCACTTGGATTAATTTACACTTACATGCTCAACTTAAGATCAAGGTGGAAATACTACCCTCCTCATTTCATGATCCCTGGAAACTAGTAGACAGGTGACCAAAACGAACTGTACCTCATCAAAATGAGGGCATCTTCTCTCAACAAAACCTGAGGCATTTTAAACTCTGAAGAACTGCTGAAACAGAAAAAAGTTACACACTTTCATGCTCCACCACACTGAGATATTGCACCTTTCTTACAATTCACTTCAGAGTTTTCATCCTCTACAGTATCGTGTGCATTTTTCTTCAGAAAAAAAAATGCAATCACATTACAAAGTCACTGCAGAAAATAAAAGTAGTACTGAACTGCGACAGTGTACACACGGTGAAATATTTCATGATGAATTCATCCATTACCACGCAAGAGTTTAAAACTGCACCCTGAAATTAGCTGAATTGACAGCAATTGAATTTTGTCTTTCAAGGAAATACTGAGAGGTAACAGACACTTGTGGTTAGTGGCCAAATAACTGGCCATATGGGATAGCTAATACTTGAGCTTAAAATGACATTACATGGCTTTTAATCAGTGAGTGGACAAGTCTGGGTACCTGTTGTACAGCAGCAGTAAGAGTGAATGAAATCACACATACTAGTTTGACTATGGACTCTTTCAGAGGGCAGTGTTCAGATATTTTACTGGTCAGTTTATTTTGAGTCTACAAGGAATGCCACTTCTGAAAGAAAAATACTTCTCCTGTCAGGGCTAATAAGTCTGTGCAGGACATGCAAAATTAATGTCAGTAGTCCTAAAGCTGACCATGCGATTCTGCAGGACTGGGCTACATCGTGCAACTACAGACACCTGTGGCCACACTAAACTGCCAAACTCCTTAATTCAAGAGCAAAATTAAAGCAATGGAGCATCAAGATAATAAAAAATTACTGAATTCAAAAATACTTTCATAATCTTTTAAGTTTCACATTAAAATTTAGAAGTATTATTTTTATCTCAGCAGGGGGGAAGGAGTTCTGTAAAAAGTAGTTCCAAAATAGAGACATCTTAAAGATGGCCAGAATTAGGAAACAGGTTAAAACTACTTTTACTTCCCCACCTGAAAGCCACAGTTTTACCTCATTTTCTTACCAACAGAAATTTCAAAAGCCAATAGACAACAAAAGGAGATTCTGATACATGTCATGGTGTAACGACTCACACAGAAGACACCCTCAGCTAAACATACCATTAAAAAGCACAGCTGCATTAATTTAAATTCTCCTGTAAACAACATGAATCTATTTAGATGTGCTTCTGGGGAAGAAAACCACCGAAGTTGTGTGCCACTTGTTTGCACTTCTGTTTCCAGTAGAGTTCTTAACTACTGTTAAGTAGTGTCCTAGACAACTTAATTGCAGATTAGTATACTTTCAATGCATAAAGACATTTTTATTGTAATCTTTTCATAGAAATAGAAGGGATGTACTGGTCAACCATTAGTGATCATCCTAAGATATTGAGCAGCTTCTGAAGACTAAGCCTGTACTTCTTGTTTTTTTTTTTTAATTCTAGTTGCTTCCTAGGAACTACATTATTAGGCAGTATTTGTTACAGATTCCCTGCATTAGAAGTCCTGCTTCTTGTTTTCTGTGTAGTTTGAGTTAAATCACAACTTTTAGAAAAGAATTTATGACAGCACTTTGATTTCGTACAATTCAAGAGCAAGACTGAAGAAAGCCCCACAGAATAGAAAGATTTTTCCTCATGCTAATAATGGGAAAGGAAGACAGAACAAGTCAAGTGGGACACTAACTCTAAGTTGTAAAAAAACAAAGAAGCTGAAGCATAGTAATGCATGCTTTGTGTCATCCAAGAGCACCCCTAGACTTAAATCTTGTAAGTTAAGTTAGCATATTAGACAAGTTCAGTTTCCTTAAAATTGTATTTACTGAGCAGCTTTTCAGAAGACAGTTAAGTTTCTGAATTCTTTGTTGCAAAATTACTCTCAAAAAGCTGAAGTTACTCAATACTTAGACCTTCTTAGCAAAATTACACTTGAGAAAAGATCTGGTTTATATTGTTAACACTAATCAAAATTTGGTCAGGAAATATATGTAAACAATAAGGATAATACATTTAAGGCTTAGAAAGAACACTGATAAATTCACCCCTGTCACATTAAAACATCCACATCTCCTTCATGGTCCTCCTCAGTCACTTTTAAAGAGAGCACTTCTTCATTAAGAAATAATCCACTCAGTCTTTCTTTACGAGCTTGTCTCTGCTCTTTCAGCTGTCTCTTCCGTAAGGCCTTTTGCTGTAGTTTCCGTTGCTTGGAACGTTTCTGTCAAAATAAAGAAGAGACAAAATGTAAGATTTTGTTCTGTAGATTTGAAAACACTTCTAAAGCTGGAAAATATAAATTAACCTCTAAAATAACATCTGCTCTGAAAAATAACTAATATGAATTCTTAGAGGTGGTGCAAACAGTCATCCAAAATTGTATCTGATATTAAAATATCAAGACCCATTTACCATATCTGAGTTATGAGGCACAACATTACCCTGTGATGTTGCACAGTCGAATTTTTGATTGAAGGAATCTTTGCTGCTGGGGAAATGTTACAGTCTTACATTAACAAACCCAAGATGTTGAAGAGCAAGCAAGAACTGCTCCTCTCCTCCACCCCTGAAACTGAAATTATGGAGACAAGACAAGTGCCACAGTACTACTTTAAATGGAACACGCTTCAGTGGGTCTCTCCTCACCACGTAATCTCATGAGATATAGAAGAATAAAGTGAAGAAGATTCAAAAAGCCTGATGAAACTTTTAGTTGGAAAAAAAAAAAAAAAACACAAAAGAAAAACAAAACACAACCAAGATGGTCTTTACTATCCAGAAATTATGCCTAGATTAGGGTGATCAATCTTAAATAATTATTTTTTTTAAACTGTGTGTGTTTTTAAGTTAGATGCATAAGCCCTTACTCAAGCCCGCTCACATTACTCTAAACAAAAGGAACTAAAAATCTGCTACAAACATCAGGCTTTCTCTTAGAACAGAAATTATGGCAAGAGCACGAGTTTTAACTCCTCGTGATCATGTCACACCAAGCAGTCAACACTGGTCTATCTAGATAACTCAGTTACTAACTGTGTTCCTTCAGGACAAACATCCCAGGTAAGATCACATAAGCAAGCTTAAAGAGTTAAGACAGCTTAGTGCAGATTTACATAATTAGAAACTTTACTTTTGAATCCCGGATTCTCTCTGCAGCACTTGAGGACAGGTTACTATCGCTGTGCGCTCGACTCATGTTGGCACTCGAGTTTGAGGCGGAGTTGGCGACGCTGGAGCCGCTGCTGCTGGCTGAGCTGACCATGCTGGCACTGCTGCTGCTGGCACTGGCACCGCTCACACCACTGGTACTTGCACAGCTGTGGCTGCTCCTCTTCCAGCTCTCCCTTGCTGACCGCTGACGAGGCCCGTGTTCCTTGATGTAGTTCCTCACCTGTAGAACAGAGGCAGCAAAATTACTAAGGCTTGATAAACACTGCACTGAGATGCTCCTTTCCATGGAAAAAACAATTTGCCTATTAATGATCAAGTTATTAGATCAATTCAGTTAGACTTTTAAAATATTTTGCTGCGCCTGCTTAAATCCCAAGCCATCTGGCAGTCACCCAGAGAACTAAGTTAAAATTAGCTTCACTACAGAAGGAACGAAAATAAGTAGCAAGGTTTGGGGTTTTTTCTCCTCTCCTGCTCCTTGAGTTTGCTACTACATTAGTTATTATTTCAACACCAAAAAGGAACATCAGTCAAGTTCAACTGAACTAAGCTGTTTACTTAATGTATCAGACCCCTTTATTTTGCTAGGTATACTCAAACAAAAATGGGTGTAAATAAAGCAGTACTTTTCTACTGTAAGATGATACTTAAAAAATGCTTGAAACATTAAATAGGCCAAGCCCATAAAAGCAGTGAATGTTTTCCAGTTTCAATCTTCACTTTCATCACAGAGTAACACTGCGGAATTCAGCTTGTTTGGACACCACATCTCTTCCCAACAACACATCACAATAGTACAAAGACTAAGAAGTGGGATGTATCTACCCTACCAGTCAAGTACCCTTCTTTGTTATAATTCCTATTCCGTTACATCTTTAAAATGTGTTTTTATCTCCCTTTCTACATGAAATTTATGGTCTTCCCCAACCAATCCCAGTCTTTTAGAGTTTTAAATGCTAGTTCATATTCAGTGAGCAAATGAAGATCCTTAGCTAGCTGATGGCCATGAGGTGAGGTACACTGCCATAAGCAGCACCAGGTCTATAGTACACACTCACCAGCTTAGGCTTAATACATACTGAGAATGTACAATCACAGTCTCATATTGTCACTCACTGACAATATTGTGCTCTAGTGTATATCTCTATATCTAATGATTAAGTATAAAAATTGATCACAAGTCTATACGATTTTCCAAGACATATTAGATGCTGAAACCCCAAAGTCAAATGTACAAACTTTAACTCACCTGTTTCAGTTTTTCATCTGTGAGACAGTTCAATTCAATAATGAATTCACTATCTGTAGGTGAGATCTGAGCAGTAGGATCAATAATTTTAATAATATCAAGTTGCTCTCGAAGGCCCATTTCTGTACTGACTTTGCGACTCAAATATTCAATATATTCAACCTAGGATCCAAAGAGAGGCAGGTCATTTTAAAGTATCATTGATTCTAAATGAGAGACAGAAAAAAGGAAGGGCCAACAGGATAAAGCATGCTCAAATATTCTAGCCTTGAGTATCCTTAAAAACTCAGGGTGAAAACCTGAGTAGGCGTTAAACTGCCTCTTACAGATCCAAAGGACAAGAAGATTTAGTTTTGAGAATCAAGCAGTCCTGCATAGGTCTGCATTTATACCTACAGCAATCAGGATGGCATTTAAAATGTATTTTTTAATGCAAAGTTCTTCTGTACATTGCAGTTCTCACACAGGAAAAAACGTCACCTGTTCATCATTTGTCATTGCGCTCCATGGAAGTTCATCAAGATTCCTATGCTTGTTTTTCTTTTTCGGAAGCAGACAGGGAGAGCTCGGAATACTAGGTATAACATCAGAAAGCACATCACTCCCACTAGTAATGTCGCTGCCAGGCAACTTGTAACATGCAAGAGAAGGAACAAAGCTTTAGAGTACAGTAGGCAGATTGTAAATCACTCTAACACTATTAACCATTCAAAACATACTGTCAATTAGCAAAGCATCAATTATCTCTGCACTCTAACTTCTTTGTAATTACTCATAACTCCCTCGAATCTTCCTACAAACAACAAGTGCAGCAAACTCAATTCATACTATTCTCTACTTATCAATTCTTTTTAAAAATTTGCATATAAGAAAACAGCAGAATGGTGTGGCATTTCAATTACTTCCCTTTTCCATCAGTGGAAATTGTCCATTACAATCCAAACTTAAATCTAAACCCCCCATTTCAAAGCATAAGTCTAGTTTAAGGAATATAATTTCAAAGTCGGTCTGTAATTCATGCCACACCCCATAATTACACAAGAATATTCAATTAAAATTACTGTCATTTGCCTGGAAGCAACTGCAGAACTTCAGCTAGCTTCATTTATACAACTGACACATGATTTCTGAATGCACTTCCAGCTGAAGTGGGACAGTTGGATTACTCATGCTCAGATTCTGCCAGATAACACCATAAAGAGCTGCAAAAAAGTCTTTCCAAAATTTTACAAGTCCAATCAAGTATGTCTCTTAAGAAAAGTTTGTTTTAAAAAGCAAAGAGTGATAAAAAAGCTAGTTACCAGTCAAACATGCTGTCAGCTAACTAAGGCTTCAGAAATTACTTCTTTTCAAAACAACTGGCCAAGTTTATCAGGCAATTAAAACTTCACAGCTCAGTGAAGCTCTAAATCTTTGGGATCCAACCTGAGTCATTCCTACAGGCTGCATTATACACATTATACACATGCACTTGTAACTTCTGCAATAAATAGAGACCAGCAGTTAGACTAAACCAGTCAGAAATTCGGAGCTAATCTCAGAGCACGTCTTGAGTTTATTTGCATCTTCTGGAACAGGATCTGAGCCGCCTTAGTTTTCAGTTCTTATAGTGCCCTTAGGACTCTACATGCTTTGACTGAACTTCACAACAAAATTTAAAAGTATGACCTTCACTCACTCCTCCAGATTAAAAAGGCTGGAATAAAACTAAACAAAACATTTCTTTATCACTCAAGATTCAGGTATGTGCTCCCATGCTCACTAGTTACAAAGAAACAAATGCCGAGAAGGTCATTTGGTCTGTTCAGCCTGGAGAAGAAGAGACTGGGGGGAGATATCACAGCTGTCTGCAGCTTCCTCACAAGGGGAAGAGGAGGGGCAGGCACTGATCTCTTCTCCATGGTGACCAGTGACAAGATCCAAGGGAATGGTCTGAAGTTGTGTCAGGGGAGATTTAGGTTGGGTATCAGGAAAAGGTTCTTCATCTAGAGGGTGGTTGGGCACTGGAACAGGCTCCCCAGGGCAGCGGTCACAGCATCAACTCTGACAGAGCTCAAGGAGCGTTTGGGCAACGCTCTCAGGCACATGGTGGGATTCCTGGGGCTGTCCTGTGCAGGGCCAGGAGTGGATTTCAATGATCCTTGTGGGTCCCTTCCAACTCAGGATATTCTGTTCTATCCAACAGCTTTTCAACTACAACTAAACCCAGCACATAACAGTCTACACAAAATTTTACATTTACAGTGGAACTAGTTTACCTGCCATTCAAACTCACTGTCTGACCAATCCCAGTATGTGCTGATAGAAGAAGAGACATCACTGCAGACACTGCCCTCGGGGAACAAATCAAAAGAGGTGAACTCCTGGTCATCCAACAGAGAGTAACAGTCATCCTGATCACCAACAGAAACCGATGAGAACAGCTCCTCACTGCACTCTGAGCTGGCGACGCTGGTTCCACAGGATGTCAAGTTCCACCTGCAAGACACGACAAAACAATTAGAAAGCAGCAAACGTTGGCATCAAGTGGCCCTGAAAAATTCTTTTAAGCCTTTTAAAACTATCTTCACTTCGCTCGCATTATACGTGGATTTTACTGAAGTTATAATTATGGAAATTGAAGTATTCTAGTTTAAAATATTTTTTAAAGTCCATAAACAACACCAAAGGGAATCCAAGGCCAAAAATGGCCAGGCAAAAATCCACACACAGTTAGTATAATTACATCTTTATTTTAATATATTATCACTTTCCACCCCAGAGCCACGACTCCTGTAGTATGTGAATTGCTTCTTTTTCCTGTTGGTTGAATTTCTAAAAACATTGATCTAAAAATAAAATTTTCCATATGTTTGGATATTTAAACTGTCACGTAAATTGAAATAAGCAGAACTAAGAAGTTAATCAATCAGACATCAGGATAAATAGAAGTCAAAAAGAAATTCTAGGCTGATAATCCCCCACAAAACTGAGGCTTAATAAGGAAACACATTATGGATTCATTATTCATAACTCCGAATGTCAAAAACATTGGACATGCTATTGGAATAAAACAGTGCAAGATGGGAAAATGACCTGTGTGAAAATGCTACCACGCCAAAACTAGACACTTTTTCCACCTCATTATTTCATTTATAAAGCTAGTTAATGCTGTTGCTAAAGGAAAGTTATTGAGGACTCAATTTTCACAGAACAGGTTTTTTGCTCTAATGAGAGTAAGTCAGAATTTAACAAGCTCATGAAATCAGTCTCCAAATCTGGATTTATTTTACATATTGGTGAAAAGTAGGTCGAGACAAATATGAGTCAGCACAGCACTGCAATATGGCCAAAACAACTTGAAAAGGGCTTCTAAAATGCACCACACAAACCCACACAATCAACTCCTTTCCATCAGCCTGTCCACTTCAGCCTGGCTAACTAGAAAAACACTCTTCTTCCATCCAACTGCAAAAGCCAAGCAATCTCATCACCCTGAAGGGCTGGTCCTCACTGTCATTATTTAAGCTGCATACCAGGTTGGCTAAATATGTTTGTGATGGATTCACTCCCACATCTACTTGGCCAGCACTGAATTTATCCAATGTTAAAGACATTTCCAAAATTCCTCTTTTAGCAGGTTCAGGAGATCCTGCTCTCCCTCCCTTTCTGGATCCCTTACAGACGTGCAGTGTTTCACTGGTTCAGACTTTTGTGGGCAGGGCAGTCCACTGGTACGGAGCAGAGCACGGGTGTGGTGACACAGCACACTTCTCAACATGACTACAGTTACAGAATTCATGAAATATTGACGAAAGGAAAGACAGAGTGGACAAAGTTTCCAGACCTATCAAAACAAAGGGTGAGGTGCAGGGGCTCTACCACCACCCCACTGTGCAGATACTCCAGGTACAGGCAGACAGCCCTCACCTTCTCATACCCAGGGGGGTCTGCTGGGCTGAACTGGACTAACAACAAGCGGGAACTACATTACAATTACTCGTAATATTAAAAAATAGAAAGCCTTATGCAAACAGCACAGATTGAGCTGTGCATCTGCAATGGCTTAATGAGTGTGTGCCCTTGCCCAAAGAAGTGAGATAGCCCCTCAAGATGCCTGAGTTACAAACCTGCATTTGTAAAATGAGTAAACCTAAGTAACACACTTGGGAAGTGAAAAGCAACACAAAGAGAAACTCACAAAACAGCTATCAAACATTTATCTTACAGATATGCTAAGAATATTTCTTACTGCTCATGTCACAATTGTGTTTTATGATTTAAGAACCCTATCATGAAAAATGTATCATATTTGATTAAGGTTGTTTGTGCTGAATCGTTTAAGAATCTATAATTAAGAATTTGCCCTTGTGAACAATACTTTTAAAGTGCAATTTCCATGATTTCATACAAATTCAACTGAAAGACTACCTTATTATTCACTCTTCATAATGGTGTAGTAGAAACACTAATAATCAGTAAAAGTATCTTGCAAGTCTGGAACAGGAACTAGAACTATCCCACACATATGTTCGTGACTGAAATCTCACAGACTGTTCTCAAAAAAAAAGCTATTGCCATATTCAGGTTTAATTATACGCATTAGCAGAATTACGTTCTTAGGAAAGCTGTGATTTTCACTTTTGGAATTTCTTTGTAGAGCTGTATATGCACTTTTTGAATAGATCATTTCTACAAACTACAGGCTGAATAATTTGACGATCATTAGTAGCATGGGATTGAAATGTTTCTGCAGGAGTCGGTGCAGTCACCAAGGTGCCTGACTCATTCTGAACCTCTACAGGTTTGCCTGGTGTCCATGCAAGGCCTGCTTTTAACTCTTATAAACACACCACTCTGCAGCTGACCATCCTGCAGCGCTCAAAAATTACCAAAAATCTCAAAAAATAAGACATTTGGAAGGGAACGAGGCTTGGAGCAACCTGGCTCAGTGGAAAGTATCCCTGCCCAAGGCAGGGGGGTTGGAACTACATGATCTTTAGGGTCCCTTCCAACCCAAACCAGTCTGTCATCCTACGAACAAACACATCTTTAAAGAATGACCCAGCTCACATCGACAGGTGTAACGTGACGAGCCGAACCCCGACTAAGCCGAGCGCAGGGTACCCCAGCAGGGCGTGCGGAGCACCCTCAGCCCGGTCACACCCGGCTCGCACCGGGCAGGCGAGCGGGGCAATGATGCTCGGCCCTGCCCGGGCGTAGCAGCCGCCCTGGGGCCCCTCAGCACCCCCCGGGCGCACCTGTTGGAGTGGAAGCGGTGCAGCGGGTCGGTGCGGTGGCAGGACGAGAGCTGGCAGCCGAAATCGCTGACGTCCAGGCAGCCCTCCTCGCTCAGGCTCAAGCTGCCGCCGCGCGGCGGGTGCTGGTGCGAGAGCAGCGGGCACGGCTCCTCGGGGGCCAGGAACTTCTCGTACGGCTCCTCGGTCATGGCGGCGGGCGCGGGGGCGGCTCGGGAGGCGGCGGGGACGCCTGGGGCAGGCGGCGGGAGCGCCTCAGGCACCCGGCGGCGGCGGCGCCATCAGCGGCCGGTCCCGGGACGCGCCGCGCTGTCGCGGCGGCTCCTTCCGGCCCCGGCGGCGGCGCAGCGCCCCCCGCGGCGGGGAGGGCGCACGGCGGGGCCATGGCGGCCGTGATGGGACACGGGCTCGCCGAGGGCGGCGGCGGCGGCGGCCGCGGGTTCCTGGGCCCGCGGGTGCCCGCCGAGGTGGAGGCCATGGCCCGGACCCTGCAGGACCTGGGCAAGGACACGTTCCGGAGGCTCCTCAAAGGTAGGGCCCGGCGCGGAGGGGTCCCCGCTGCCCCCCAGGCAGGGACGGGAAGGGTTCGCAGCCAGGGCAGATGGGCGGGGGCCGCGGTCCCCGAGGAGGCCGTGGATCCTCTCGGTAAGGCAAGGACGGCTCTTAGAGAGCGTCCAAAGGAGGGCTGTGAAGATGGTGAAGGGCCTGGAGGGGAAGCCGTGTGAGGAGCGGCTGAGGGCACTTGGTTTGTTCAACCTGGGGAAAGGGAGACTGAGGGGAGACCTCATTGCGGTTAAACTTCCTCGTGAGGGTAAGAGGAGGGACAGGCACTGATCTCTTTGGTGGCCAGTGACAGGATCCGAGGGAATGGCCTGAAATTGTGTCAGGGGAGGCTTAGGTTGGATATTAGGAAAAGATTCTTCACCTGTAGGGTGTTTGGGCACTGGAACAGCCTCCCCAGGACTGTGATCACAGCACCAACTCTGACAAAGCCCAAGAAACGTTTGGACAACGCTGTCGGACACATGGTGAGATTGTTGGGGTGTCCTCTGCAGGGTAAGGGTTGGACTGAATGATCCTTGTAGGTCCCCTCCAACTCAGAAATTCTGTGATTCTGTGACAACTGAGAGGCTGCAGCTTCCTGTGTCACTTCCCATCGCCTTTCCCGTCAGGAAGCTAGAGCTGAGGGTTAAATACAACGCCAGGCTTGCTTGGTTGTTCTCTACAGTTCTGTAACAACCGTGAGAATGAGGAACAGACTTCTGCAGCTATGGATGGCCTCTGAACTCACGCTGAGTCCTGTTAGAGTTATTCCTCTCTCGTCCCTGTACTCCAGAGCCAGTGGTCCAATCACTGTCAGGCTGTGTGTGACAGTCAGAGACCCCGTGGGCATCTTCACAATGTGCAGGAGACAATACAGGAATCTCAAGGTGCAGGTTTCTTGCTGAGATTGGGGCAGTAAGATTGACAATGATTGATTTCATTTTTGTCTACGAGGCTTCTCCCTGTGGTGAGAATTTTCTCAAGGCACCTTTGACCCTCAAAATGAGGAGTTGCTCAGTTAAGTAAATAAGGTATGTAAAATAATCATGGATTAATGGAAGAGTTGTTTAGCAAAGCAAAAGCAAAGCTTGTTTGTGGCCAGCTGAGAGGAGGGCAGCTGCTGCCCAGCATGGGGTTGTGCTGCGACCCTGATATGTTCTCTCAGCTAACATCCTGTCAGGGTTTTCCTTTTTGATTTGAGTCAAGAAGGACTCAAAGTGTCTGGTTAGTCTCAAAGTGTTGCTGCAAAGTGTCAGAAATTGAGCAATGTATCCAGGGTTTCCTTATAATAATAACTGAAAGTAATAAAGCTACATATAGGCAGAGTCATTTGGGACAGAAGTAAATACAGATGTTGAACCATATTTGCTGTCTAGTGCAGGGGCCACAGAGACTGAAAAGCTCTATCAGTGCCAGGCAGCCTGACTGTCTGGGCTTAATTTTGGTGTAAAAGTACATTAAGTCAGGCAAAATCATAGAGGTGTTTATGTGAATGTTCACAGTCTCCAGGTCTTCCTCTTTTTAAAGAGGCCTTGCTTTGCTTTCTTATTCACAGTCACCGTTAATGCACTGGAAGGAAAAGACTGCAAGGAATCTGTCAAGCTGATTGCAGAAAGTGCTAATCTCTCAGAAGAGCAACTTGCTTTCCTCATTTCTGGCATGTATACCCTTCTCCGAGAGGCGTTGAGACTCCCCATATCAACCTTCAAACAAGAAGTAAGTTCTGGGAGTACTTGGAGCCCTGATAAGTTAAAAGCTGCATCAAACACGAATTACTATCTAGATCCTATTTGCAAGGGTGGGGAGCTGCACATAAAAATGTTACTCCTAGTCAAAGTTGTTGTGAAAAACTGTTAAAAATCTAGAGCTTATTCTTTCACTTGGGTAGATTTACAGTGAGCTTTCTGAAAGCTATTTAAGCTTTGGGAAAAAGATTCCTGTATCTATTTCTGCTTCATCATCTTGTTTACTGTACGTGTTTGTTCTCACTCTGAAATCAAAACCCCCAAAGAAACCATAGCAAAGTGTTATTTCACAGACGTCACCACTCTCTCTTACCCTCACTGGGTGTTCATATACTGCTCATTTTGTCCACACTTATCATTTCTCATATTTCCTTGCCTGCATTTGTTTATATTTCTGCCATAGAGGAAGGAAAGTCTTATGGCCACAACACTATAGTGGAAATTGGAATAAAGTGCAATTTCCACTTATGCTGAGGATGTTTGGTGTGAATATGTAGACACCTGCTGTGTTCCCAACCCCATCCCTTTTTTGTGCTATTTTCTCTCATTTTTCATGTTCCTTTACCTTATATTTTCCCTCTCTCATTTTATTTTTATGTGAGTGAATCACTTCTGGGCTTCCAGCACCTCTATCTTGTTTGAGATACTGTTTCATATTTGCTTAGGCATACTGGAAATGCTCCCATATTGCAGGAAACATAGTGGAAATATGGTTTTAGTATTCAGACCTTACCTTTTGCACTTCCTTTCTGTTGTCATAGTTTAAACAAGCTACTGCAAAACATATTTGAGAATAAGGGCACACAGTTACTCTAAAAGAAGAATATGTTCTGGGTAGCTAAGTAAGACAAGTGGCAGAGAGGTTATTTTGAAAAATAAAGGCTTCCAAGATATTTAGGTCTTTAAAATTAAATCACAACTTGATGGAACACTTCTGAAAATTCTCAATATGTCACCTGTCATTTCAAAACTACTGGCACTCGAGACTAAAACTTTTGGGGAAAGAGTAACTACTATTGATTCACTAGGTAAGAAATGATTTTTTAAGGCTACATTGTGTAAAATTTAACCTTCCTTGTCTTTCTAGGCTTTTAAGGAAGACCTGAAGGAGCTCAGGTATGCCCGTTTTTGCCTGTTTTTTTAATGTTTATTTTTTCATAACTTTTACGTAATTGCTTCCCCGAATCAACACAATGAAGTTGGTATAAAAATTACCTGTAAATAACACATAATACATCTGTTGCCAAGCATCACATAAAGCCAGAGTCAAAAACCAGGTGTTGTGTAAGACTTGATTTAGCAGCGAGCATGAGCAGTGAATTTCACATGCTGGGGAGAATGGTCTAATTTAGTCTGTAATGTAGGTTATGCAAATGTGAGTGACCTTCTCTCTGCCATCCCCAACTTGCCCTGCAATATTTTTTAACATGTTTAGTAAGACAGTGGTAACATTTGAGAAGCTAAGGAAGTGCCCTACTTTTTCACTTCTTTGAAAGGCCAACCCTACCACCTTGTTCAGCTACAATCTCTCCTGCCCATTTCCCAAGAAATCATAACCTTTGTTACAGGCTTTGCCAAAATCTGTGTCAGTCTCTCCAGAGTATGTCTGAATAGAAGATCATATCCTAAAAGCTAGATATCAGATGCTAGTAATATTTATAGGTTTTCCCTTATTTCTGTATTCAGTAACAGTGACAGAATAATAGTAGTTGATGTTTTCATCTGTAGAGGAACCTCCGCACCAAGGCTCAATTATTTTAAAATGCTCTTTCCCCACAATTCTTAGCATTCTGATTGCTGCCTAGGAGAAATAGATAAGTTTCTAATTCTGTCTTTTTTTATCCTTATTTGTCTGTTAACCTGCACATTGGCTTTATCCCTAGGCTCTGCGGAGTCATAAGCATAATTTACTTCATGAGCAGCTTTGGGCAAATCAAAGCTGCAGACGTAGTCGGGGTGTAATCAGCATGAGGTGTAATTGGGGCCATGATGAAAGGTGCCTTGCTAGTTGATACAGTTTTGTCTGCAGCTCAGTACTGGAGTTTGGCCTGCCTTTTGTCTGGTGAGCTAAAATGCAAGCTGCTGCCTCTACCACATCATGGAGTTCACACACAGGTTAAAGTAGGTCAGTAAGAAACTGATGAATTGCTTTTGACCCAGTGGGAGCTGGTGTTTTTTTGAGGTGCCCACAAAATGCATTCAGTTTGATTATGGAAAAATGAAGAGCACTAAAAGCTCCATGACAAGTTCTCTGGGGGCGAGTGAATATTCCTCTTCCAAGCAGTGGAGAAAGGTGGTATAGGAGTGCCAGAAGTCACTGGCCAGGCTGGGTGTGTCTAGAAATACAGACCCTCAGGTCCCTGTCCTTGTCATTTGACCACACTTTAATGCCTTACACGCTTGTAGTTGTTTGGGGTTTTTTTTCCTCACTTTATGGTTTATTCATGCGCTTTATTCAGGCACTTTTCAGTCCAGAGGATCTTTTTTATGTCTTTTATATGTTGACAAGTCTTTTTATCTTATTGTCCTGGTTAACATGACTGATCTAGCAGCAATAGTTCTGGTAACTGCATTTGAGTTGCTTGCAGACTTGTATGTTTTATGTGCTGCTTGTTGCTGCTATGCTCCCGTGATTCTCACAGTACTGGGGCTCTTCCTAACTTCCATCTCTGACACTCTTATCTCCTGTGAGTAGCTTTGTTCACCTTGTGGCTAAACTTTTAGAAGACTAAATAGCTTATTCTACTTCAAGCTATGATACTTAGTAGCACCTTTGGCATCTTTGGTTCCTATGGGAAATGTTATTTCCTACATTTCCCAATGCACTTGGGTTTGGAGATGAAATGCCTGCATGTTTTCAAGGCACTTACTAATTACATTCACACACTTACCTTCCTGCAGTGGCTCCTGTGAGTCAACCTGTGAACAAGGGCATGAAGAACACATGCTTCATTGAACAGCAGTGTCTTGGCATTAGTGGCACCCAGTGTTTGGGCAGGTATTTTGCAATTTAAGGCAGAAAAATGGCTTATTTCCATTTTTGTGTTGTGTCTTCTTTTAAAAGGTTTGAGCTCGGCACCAGGCTACCTTTTTTTTTAACTTCCTGCATTCTGTTTTGTTTCCCTTCAGTGAAGCTGAATCTTGAACTAATTCCACCCATGTAAAGTCTTGTAATTCTCAAAGTACCTGGTCTTGGCTCTTAGTTTTGGTGGAGGGCGAGGCTATGAGACATGCACACTTCTGATTAATTAGATCAGTTCTACTGGTTTCAAAGGGTTGCCATTTTATATTCCTTATTTCCTAGCCTGAGTGGCTGAGACAGCAAGAACAAATTCACTCTAAATTGTGGGTGCTATTTTTTTCCCCTCCCAAGTTATTTAATAACTTCATGGCTCAGGCCAATAACATGGGATTGAGACATACTCACACATTTCTTGCTCTTGGAGTCCCTTCCTCAGACTGTTCCTTTGAAAACTGATTGCCATCTGTACCTCAGGCTGAGCTGTGCCATGTTCTGTCTGATCTGCTTAGTGTGTGACTGGCCTCGTGTAAGCTGCCTGAGCCTGGAACAGAATTTTCAGCAAAATCATTGACTGCACAGCAAAAATAATGCAAACTCAAGGGTAGTGTTAAAGCTTCTGTTTTAGTAACACTTGCTCTTACAGTTGAGGAAGTATTGTGATAGATACCATAATAATCATATTACAACCCCCTGTCTCCAGCTATTCCACTACATAGAGAGGATATCCAGCCATGGTCAGACTGTGTTAAATGATACACTTGCATGGACAGTATAAGTAATGTTTGCAGAAGAAGTCTTGTTTCTTCTGAAAGACAGACTCATGCAGCCAAAAAAGCACCGTTCTAGTGCTTGCTAAAAAGAATTCCTTTTTATCCAAGCACCATTTAAAAATGTGGTGTAACCTCCCTTCTTCCATTAGGAATTCGAGCCGTAGTAACTGCTGTTTCATCTTCCCACTGTGTGAGTTGATGAGTTGTTTTTTCTCCTGTCATTAGACACTGTAAGCTCTTTAGGACAGGTAACTTCCTTTGATTTTCCTTTGATACACTGCTGTGTATCTCAAGCCACTGATGAGTAATGTCTCTGGGCACTGATTCATGGTGAGGATTTAACTGTGGCAGCAGCAGTAGTTAGTTCTCCCAGTTGTCCAACTTGCCTCTCTGTAGGAGGTTACTGTCCGTGTGGCTGAATGGAGAGTGTTTGCTCTGTAGTCTTTGCAATTCACAGCCTGATCTATTGAACTGAAAATCGACAGCAGCTTGTTTGTGAGGCAACACCAGTGTCGAAAGAATAGTAAAGGAGTGGAGAGGCACAGGGTGGATGAAGTGTGAATTTGTTACACCAGTCCTCATGTTAGATATGCTCCTTTTCTAAGCAGTCTTAGCTACAAGGGCCTCTATTTTACTTTTGAGGGAGCAATTCTTTCTGTCTTCTTTTCATCATGCTTCAGGTGAAAGTGAAGTGAAATGTGTAGGTTTGGGATTTTTGAAAGCATGCATTGCTGGCCTGCCTTCTACACTTGTTAGAGCCATCAGTAAAATTTTTCTTGACTTTACCAGGAGAAGTTAAGCAAATACTGGTTTCTTTTGAAACTCACCATTTCCATATTAGGTAGGACAGGAAGATGTAATACAGTTTTTAGGGTTCTTGATATAAAAACACAGGCTGTCCTTTTGAGAGCTCCAACTGAATCAATACTGAAATGCTTACATAAGAGCTGATTGCAGTTTTAAGCAATGGAAGAGAGAAAATGTTGTCATGTCTTTTGTGTTCTATAATAGATTTCATTTTTTTTAGATACGGCCACATAATTATAGGTACAAAAAACGTAACTGTTTTGTATTGCTCTTCTCTTTCAGGATACCAGAAGATTTCATTGTGGACTTTTCCAGTGTAGTCTTTGGTAACAGGTTGGTGTCTTCATGTGTCATACATTGTGCAGGCAGCAGGGTTGCACAGAGCTCTGCTGACACAAATCCCTCGCATCTTGAAGGAACAGCAAAATTTTCTAAATTATTGAGACAAGATTTGTCCCATTATTTTGATTCAGTACAGTATGATGTCCATCATGCATGGCTATATATGCATTAAATGGCTTTCATGCCAATTTTGAGTTTTTTCTCTGATCATCATTTTTTATAATGTTCTATAAACTGTGAGATACATCAATACCTACAGATGAAAAATGCAGTGCAGAATTAAGCATTTTTGCCATCATTATCATTGCAAGTTAGAGCAACAGTGAAAGACTTGCTGTGTTGAGAGGCAAGCTACGTGTGCCTTCTATTTGCTGTGGTTCGTGGCAGCTTTTTCAGATAGAATTTCATCAAGTCTCTTAATGTACAGTTGAATTGGGAGTTCACACTGAGTGACTTGACACATGTGAGATATCAAGTGCTCTGCTAGGTGAAGTTCATTTTTTAAGCAGTATCCCTCAGTAGCTCCAGAGGAAGTACTAAATCAAGAGCTTTTTGAACATGCAGAAAAAGGGAATCCCAAGAATGGTTCTCTGCTCCATCATATTTAGCTTATTCTGCATCTAGAAATTTCTTGGACATTTTGCATATGGAAAACTTGTGCAGAGCCAGGAGCTGGACTTCAATGATCCTTGTGGGTCCCTTCCAACTCAGAATATTCTATGATTACAACTTTCTTCCTTGAAACTTGAGGTCACTCAGCACATAGCATCACTAACCCAATGCTGCTCCAGATTCTTTGCATAGAATCTTGGTAATCATAATTGTGGTATTTCAGTTACCCTTACAAGGGTCTGAATGCTGCTACCAAAGTTAAAAATACTTTTCATTTCCTTGATTAAGATCTTGGCTTACAGCTAAAGGTTCTTGGAGTAAAAATAAATTCAGTCTTCTCATCTTTTCTTTGCTCTTCTTTTCGAATTATAGGTGTTAAGAATGCAAAATTCATGGTTGCAAAGTGGAAATATTGTTTGCAGTGGAAAAAGAAGATAAATTTAGATGTAATTTGAAACATGCATGATTGTCTGTTTTCTACTGTGAAATCACGATGCTGGAAAATTTAGCTTTTTCTCATTTTGAAAGCTGTGATTATCCAGTGTAATCTTGCTCTGTGTTTTGAGACCAGAGAAGAGCACCTCAGATTAGATTTCTAGACAGATCTGCTTTTATAATCTTAAATGTAACACTGAATCATACATTTGCTTACCGAGTTGTAAATATATATGATTGTGATGGTAAGAGATATATTAGCATCTGATCAAAAATTCAATATGAGCTAGATAACCCAGAAAAATCCATTTTTAATACTTTTCCTGGCATCTTATCCTATTTTTGGACTTCTGTTCACTGAACAACAGCTCTGAAGAATTTGACATTTGTATTTCTGTGTCCCCACAATTCCATCAAGCTACATAGACTGAAAGGAAAGAAAAGCTTGCCACACTGACACCATCAAATAGCCGCATGAAATTAAAACTTTATTAAGGGAAAGGATAGCTCTAACTTCCCCCTCTCTGAATGGTTATAATAAATGCACTGCTTTTTTTTTTAATAGTGTAGCTTTAGTTTCTGCCAGGAGGGTGCATTCTGTGTGCCATTTGTCAGCATTTCACACATACCAGTTTATTCATCCTTCCTTTTCAGTGACCTGCTAGGCATTTCTTGTTATGTGCATAGGGAACCATCCAGAACTTGTCTTTAGTTTTGTTAGGTCAGCTGCTGCTCCAAGTTCTCTAATCTTTCATTTTTGAGTGCTCTTGCGTTGCATCCTTTAGCAGATGATGTTCTTGTCACCAGGGGTATCATCCTTTCCACATATAGTTGAGATGGTCTCTGGCTGATCCGTGGTCCTTTACTTGTTCTGACTTCTGCCTTTGCAGGGTGTGCTGACAGTATATTGCAGCTGTTGGTAGAGAGTGTTTATGAAATGTAATTACAGGCTATAGGTTTTGGAGTCTTTTCTGCTCCATTTTGCTATTCCTCTTATAAATCAATGGCTTTATTAAAAGCCTATATAATTTCTGTTTGTATGTTGGCCACTATGCACATTCTGTCATCCTTACAGGATTCTTGCAGTTCTAATTTAGTCTTGTCCAAACTGGGAAGGTCCTGACAGAAGTTTAAACTAAGCCATAAAAGTTGTGACTCTTCCTGAGGGAATGGCACTGAAGTGCAGTCCTGACCAGAAATAAAATTTTGTATTTGGTTACAGAAATGCTGTCACCCAACAATATTCAGAAGCTTCACCTCTGTTTGGGAGGTCACCATTGCTGGCCTTTCCAACCATTGCTAATTAGAACATCTTCATGTTTTTTCTACTCCTTTCTTCCCCAGGAGTGCTGGTGCTGCACTGAATGGACCATCCTCCATTGATGGGAGTTAGCATGTCTTAAGGAAACGGTAGCAGTGTGGCTATTTTTAGGGATTCTCCAAATTAAGCTATTGCAGCTCTCCACTGAGGGAACGGTCTGTTCTTACTGTTTAATCCTGCTAATGACTGTTCTAGACTCCAGCTCCTCATGGTTGTACCCAGCTGTGGTGACCTACTTCCTATCCAGGAGCTGACAGTAAGAACCAGCTGATCTACTTTTTTTTTTGCTCATTCCTTTACCATACTATTAGGAATGTGTGTCATTTCTGACACCACCCGATGCCCCCACCAGAAGGATAAATCCTTCCTTATATCATCTTTGTGAAAAGCAGGAGCATTGGAGGATCTCAGCCTGTCGGTCCTGTGTGCCTTATTGGATCATTAATCTTTCCAGGCAGTTTCTAAAGGCACCAGCTAACTTGCACACAAGCATCTGAGTAGGGATGTTAGAGTGCCATTCCTACAGTCCTTGATTTGTTCAGAGAGGATTCCCTTCTGATGTAAAGTCTGTAATTAGATTATGTCTAGCACCATGGATAAAGGATGTAACGTTTCTTATCCCACCCTTAGTGGGACTAGTGGAGTAGCTTTGAAATGTACCGTAAATAACTTCCAGGGACATGGGATGCTTAGGAAAAAAAGTAAATATGGTAAGTAACACATAGTCCTGAATGGACCAGCTCAATGACCTCATTCTGAAATTATTTCTGCATATATATCTAAAAATGAACGGTTGTTATGTGTTTGTGTCAGATTTGGCTTCTTTGGTTACCCAGAGCTTAAGATGCTGTTCAAACTTTGAAGATTGTCAATCATCTGAAGTTTAATCACTGTCAACTGTATTTCCTTACAGAAATAAACTAGGGCTTGATCGACCTAATTCTTACTGCAATATGAGTAATAAATGAAGTGCTTGGCTTTTTACATGGTAGACTAGACAAAAATCTTGAAGGTTGTGCTGGGCTTGGCAGTGCACATTATGTAAGGAATTTAAAGTTTGTAAATTATGTTGGATTAACAAGAGCCACTATTTTTTTTTAAGTATGCTTCAAAATACGCTCAAAAGACACTCAGTATTATATTTTAAAACATTTCTGCTTGACAATACTAGATGCTTTTTGCTGAAGAAATACGGTGACCTTATCCAACTGTTTTGCGTAAGTCATCTGTCTTGTTCCTGCTTGCTTGTTCCTGTTGGATCTGCATGTATTTAAAGATATATTTGCAGGTCCCTTTCTATGCCTCACAGTTGCATATAATTGAAATAATAGGTATGCCAGCCACCACAGTGACTATTACTAAACTTTATAGTGACATCAGTTTACTGGAATTACACAGTCACTTGGTCTCTTTTTTCAACGTGGACCGTAGTTAAGCATAGGAAAAGGGGATAATCTGAGCATAGCTGTCTTTAATCCACAATACCTCTACTCATTCAGACCTCTCTAAATGAGGACAGATGCAGGAGAGAAACAAGTTCCAGACAGGTTTGTTCTGAGGAATCATATTTTCTCTTTAGATTGTTTTTTTCTTTTATGAATTTGCATTTCAGTCTCCCATTACTGGTTTACTCCTTAGGCGTCCCGCTTCCGAAGGCACAGCTCTGCTACAAAGAAGTAGGCTACCAGGTATCCAGGACTTCAAGTGGAGAGTGGACGTAGCAATATCCACAAGGTATAAAAGAGAATCGTGCATGTCCCTGGAAGTTGTTTTACCTCAGGTTAAACTGATTTCTTGGGCTTCTTAAAAATGTTAACAGGGTTAAAATGTATCTTGCTGTTAGGGATTGGCATGTAGCGTTAAACAGTAAGATACAGATGGAATTTTCTGAACAGGATAGAAGTCAGTGTATATACATTTTATTTTTGTTAACATTTCACTCAAAGTTTGAGTCTCATTTTAAAACTTAAAGGAGCTGATACAAATCCACAAGCCCTCAGAGATGGATGGAATAAATTAAATGGATTGAGCCTCAAGCAGCCAGGCAAACTCTCAGTTTCACTGGAATGGGGGAAGGAAATCCCCTATGCAACTTCTCAAGTGTACTATCACTTTATGTTGCACATGTTAAGATGACTTTACATCCCCTGTACAGTGTGCTACAGATTCTACAAAGAGAGGTTTCAGAACAGCACCTTTACACTGCCATAGTTATGTAGTTGGTCATTGTACTACCTCCTGGTTTCTTTCACAAAACAGGATCAAAGGCCTTTGTTATCATCCTGCCTGTGCCTGCAGTGAGTGGCTTCTTGCCATCTGCCAGAGGAGAGGCAGCTGGGGGATGTATCTTTGGCACAGAAACCTGTTGTCTGTGCTGTTTTGATCTCTGTCTAGTTCTAACCAAGACAGACCAAGATGAAATAAATTAGAACATGATCCAGTATTTGTTAGTACAGTAAATTATTAGCATGAGTGACTTCATATTGCATTCATGGATACCTGCATCAAGGAGAGAGTGCAGCTTCTTTGCTGCCATAGTTGAGAGTCCCATGGGTGATCAGGGATTGTCTTCCTGAAATCAAGAAAAAAGGCTCCTAAGTAAAAACTGTAATGGCCAGAAGCTACTAGTTCAGGTGACTCTGCCAAGCAGTGCTGTAAGCACCACACAGGTATCACTGCAGAAAAAAATCTATACCTATAAGAAAGCAAAACGTCCAGATAAACATCCTCAGGCACAGTGCTTGCAAGCTGCAAGCAAATCCTATTATTTGTTTTCCAAACAGCACAGGAGCAATACATTATCCTTTTTTGTTTTCCTTCCTCTTATTTTCCTTTCCAGTTAACCTTCCCCCTGGGATTTCTTGTTTATCATGCAGCAACAGCCTCTGCAGAGAGGTATGGTGGCTTCTGGCTGTAGTGCCTGTCAGTACCTGAGCAGGCCTTGGCAACGTCAGTTGATGGAAGCTGCACAAGAATGACTCATTTCCCTTCTTTGGGTCATCAAATAAAATAACAACACACGAATTTAGCATAAAGACTGGAAGAGCTTGATTCTCCAGATGAGGTGGCAGTTGAAAATATGAAGGGATGGACAAGATGGTAAACTGCATAAGAAAACTGTGCATTATTATTAGCAGTACTTGGTCAGCTCTCATCCCTATCATAGTTCCACTAAATTGATTACGTAAAAACAAAAATGCTCCTAAACTTGTGGTTGCTAAAGTATTAAAGAAACGTTTAGTCTCAATACTGAGATAAGTTGGACAGTACTCTTATGTTCATGAGTTTCCAGCCAGACAGGTAAAGGACTCTGAGACTGAAATTACTCATGTTCTGTGTAAAGCCTACATGAACATCTAAAATGGTTAATGTGCAATGCTGTAGTCATCACACTGCTGATGTCTGCTGCTGTAATACTAATAATGTAAATAATTTCAGCTCACTGGCCCGTGCACTTCAACCGTCCATTCTGATGATGATGAAGCTTTCAGATGGGACAGCTCATCGCTTTGAAGTAAGTCTGATTGCCATAATAAATAAAAAAGAAACCAATTGAAGTTTTATTTAGAAAGTTGAATTATTATTTAAAATACTAAAGCTCTTTTAAACAATGCATTACCATTGCTTGGTTTGCTTTGGAATCCATCATGTTCAGTGTAGCTGCATACAATATATAATGAAACACCAACAAAAATCATTTCATACCTTGTTCCTATGCACATTCTGCTGAAATCTAATCTTTTAGAAGAAAATGACTGAAAAACACTGTTGCACAATATGTGGTTTGATTAAAAATTATGGGGTTGTTACCAACTGTAACCTTCAGACCTGAAGGTGGCTTTCGAGGGCAAGAAAATTACTGGGGTAGTTTATATAAGGTATGATACACTTCTGAACCTGCATTTTGCAGAGAATTATAACATTCTCTTCTGTGGCAGAGGTAGTTTTATTCTTTTTCTTCAGTACCATTCTTGCTGCTAGAAAGTAAAAAAAAAACCTCTTTGACCTCAGAATTAGTCAGTGGCAGTATTTATGACACTGTACCTAAAGGCTTGCCAGAAGATGCCATAAACTCTTCCGTAATTTTAACCTTTGAAAAGAAATGCTATTTGTTCTATAAATAACATGGTGGTGCATACAGGAATTCAGTGCACAGCAGGCATTGTTACATTTGAACTCTGTACAGATTTTGGCTTCAGTTCCCGGGTTAGTAGTAGTCTGGAAGGAGCACCAAAGCCCTGTGGGTTGAAAGAGGTGAACTGATTTTACTGTTAAAATGTTGTGCAAGAAAGCAGCTGTTGAGGAAGGCATAAATCTGTGCTACACTGCAAAATGTTGAGGGTGTCACTTCACAGGAGATCAAATTTACCACTCTGGACAGTCCAGGTCAGAGCATCCCATAAGCTCTGTTTGACATCTTCCATGGAACTTAAATGATGCCATGGATGTCAGGTTAACTCTTTACAACAGGGTAAGTTTCATTTTTGGGAATAAAAGCTAGTATATATTCTTTACTGTTTATATCTGGGGCTTCATTTCCTGGCATATAATGTCAAGTCTTCATCTTGGTGCTATTGTTTCTGGTTGTTTTGGTTTGATTTTAGTTGTTTTTCTTTTCTTGTAAGTCTGTGGAAGACCCTTTGCTATTTGGTAGTGGAGGTGTGTTTGTCCAGAACACACAGCAGTGCAGATATCTGATAGCAAGCAATGTGCTTCTCTTAGAATTGACTCTTTGCTGCTGCTGCTTAGTTCTGAATGCCAAGGATTTGGCTGTAAACATGATTTCTGTATCTGATGAGTGGTCTTCCCACAGTTAGTGGGGATAAACCTGTGTTTTGGTTCAAGGTGCCATGTGCAAGCAAATATAGTCCTCAGCTCTCTGGTTTCCTTTCATTTGGACATGTTCAGAATGTCCTGCTAACTATCAAGGCTTATGTAAGATGGTAAGTCCAGAATTCTGTTGTGAACAGTTTTAAAATATGTCTGGCACAGGAAGAAGTTACACTCTGGTCTCTGTTTGGTTTTTTAATCACAGTGTGACTTCTAACTGAAGATTTTTTTCAAAAGCAGGGGGAATTGCAGCATTTTGAGTCTTGTTGTATGTATGTCAAAAGTGAAAAGGACATGATGCCTTTTTATGCATTTTGGATGTATGGGGAAAATGCAAATCAGGTGTTGGATTCCTCTCACATAATTGATATCTGTGCTACACTAGGCAGAAGGATGACAAGGGTCTCTGTCAAAAGAACTGCTGTCTTCGGTGTAGCCAAAGCAGTGGAGTCAATTAGGCAGAGCTCTGCAGAGCAGCATGGGACCAGCTAGACTGGGATGGGCACTCTTGTGAGCACGTGTGTTTGTGCACTGCCCTGTTGTTAGTCTGTGCCACGCCATCTGTGCCTGTGCTCAGGTGTGGATCTCTGTCTTAACACATAACAGATTTCCATCCACTTGGTTTCTCAGGCTTGAAATGGTAGAGTCCATAAGTCTCCTGCACAGCTGAAAATGCTTTGTGTGTTCAAGCAAAGTCTTGTGCCTTCCACATATAGACACTGCCCAGTGCCCTTTGCTCTTGAGGTTGCTGCCAAGTCTCTTGCCCCAAGTCTCAGTTCCTTTCTCTTGCAAGTTTGGACAAGAAATATCTGGAATTTGTGTTTGAGAATTTTGTAGGCTTCACAGCATTCCAGATGTCTTTGTTTTTCCTTCCAATCCAGGACTCTTACTTCACCACAGCAGTCCTCAGTTTACATCCTGTAGTATTTCCTTTCTTCCATCAAGCAGTACAGAAAATGTACTATGTAGCTGTTATTTCTGTTTTTTTCCACTCTCCTTTTCCACATGGATTTAGTTGAATTAACTGAATGTTATTAACCTCAAATCCTTTGTCTTAAATCTGAAAAAAATCGTATTTTAAGAGAGATTGCACTGACACTGCAATGCTCCCTATCATAGGCATGCCCTAGTGAAAGTTCCTAAGATGTCTTCTAACCTGAATATTTTGTTTCAGGTGCCAGTTGCAAAGTTTCAAGAATTGAGATACAATGTTGCCCTTATACTGAAGGAAATGAATGATTTGGAGAAGAGGAGCATACTGAAGATCCAAGACTGAACACTTTTAATTGGGAGTTTGTGGAAGAGACCTGGAACCCTCAGCGTGTTTTGTGAATGGTAGAGCAGGGGACCATCACCACTTTGCCTGTATGAACTTCAATGTGACATTTATGATGTCTGCTGTAAATATTTTTTTCAATTCAAGTGTTTAAAAGCACAAGCTCTTTTTGTAAGACTTAGGAAAACCAAAAAATGTATCTCTGAAAAAGTATAATGCTGTTTGCGAGCATTTTGCATGATTCATCAAAACATTTTTTTAAATAACTGTCTTAATAGATGTAAGAGTCATTTATTTCTGATTATGATTCATCACTTTAATTATTTTTGAAAGTCTGCTACCGGAAGCCCCAGCAATGTGTATGTATCACAAGAAAGCTCTGCAATACTTCAAATAAAAAATAAAATAACAAACCCACTCCTGCCTTCTAGTATGACAAATGCAATCTTGAGTTTTGCATAAGTAAAATTGTTGTCTGGCTTCTCACTAAGTGACTAAGGTATAGCTACAGACATTTAAAGGCTAATTTGAAAGAAAATTGGAAACCTGTGGATCAAGAACAAAGTATCAGCTGAGCTTCCAGGACTAATTCCATGGAATTACAGAAGTGGGAAGGGGTAGTCTTAAGTCTTTATCTGGTTGATCATAATGGGCTAAATAGCAGTCATGTCATAGGTTTCTAAGTGGAAATGCCTGTCTCTTGTTTCATGTATTGCCTGTATGTTTGATTGAATGAAATCAGCTGACATGGCTGGACAGAAACCCCTGGGCCTGCAGTGATGGCGAACAGTGGCAGGCAGTGATCTTGTAGCCCACGACACCATAGACTCATTACCTGTGCAGGTCAGAGCCCAGGATGGAGGGGCTGCCTACAGCCTCTGGGGTGAAAGTCGCAGGTGTGAGGATATCCAAGCCCCCAAGTCGAGAAAGGAGTTAAGCACAGGCTGAAGTTCCCTGAGCTGCTCCAGCAGTTGGACTGGATGGTCATTGTAGGCCCCTCCCTTTCAACAGAAATAGTCTATTCTAAGTTATTCCTTTGCCCCAAGAGTTAACCTCAGAAGGACCCCCTTAACTCGAAGCATATGTTTTAAGTCTCATTTAAATGCTGTGGGACCACAAGTATGTCCCTAAGAGTTTTGCCAAGAAGGGATGCATTCCTCAGTCCTTGGCTGAGTGAGTTTTCCCCAGCAGCAAAGATATGGAGGCTGTGAGCAATGGCTCAAAGACAGCATCCTAGAACTGGAGGCTTTATCTGGCTGTCAGGTGTACTTTAGAAAGCACATGCTACTGCCACTGTTAAGCCTTCACTTATTCTAGCTAATTGTAGGGGTTTTGTCTCAGTAGTACCACCCATACTCTTTCATGTTTTGTGACTATAGAACTTGCCTTTATCTTCCTCACCCCCTGCAGAAAACTACTGAAATTAAAATTGTGGATTTGGGAGGCCTTTTACACTCCCACAGATGTTTGTGTAGGAAAGGATGACTTGGCTTTTGGATTTTAAAAATCACAACAAGCATAATAAGGCTTATTTGTCACACTTTTTAAGAGGAGACTTTTTTAACAGCAGTCCACACCAATCTAAAGATAGCTGAATAGCTCTGGTCCAGAAAGCTTTTAAAACCCAAGCAAGAACGTGTCCTGTAGTTTCAAATAAACCATCAGTCACGATTTCAAACTGTTCAAAAGCTGCATGTTCCATTTGCTTTGTAGGGGATTCATCAATAACTTCCAGCTTTGATGCATGATGCATCTTAGCTATTGTATTCAGGGAACACCAAACACCAAAGCACATAAAGAATTAGCTCCTATACCTTCAAGTGGACTGTGGATTGCGTTAATTACTCTGTGGAGCTTGTTCATCTTCTTTCTGGAATTACATTATCACGAACTGTGAAACAAAACATAGATCATGATGTTCCTTGCTACAACCTTTCCCTTCTGGATGTTTAGATTTATAAGGTTTCAAACTGCAAAGATAGCTCAAACTGAGCCTAAGTGAAGTCTTCAGACAAACAGAATGCTGCATAAAATGACCTGTTGCTCAAGGCATTTGCAAAGTAGTTTTTTACTGGTCAGAGTAGAAAAATCCATGAATACCTTTACCTTCTAGACAGAATATATTAATTCAGTTGTTCTCCTGTAACAGCAATTGCCCATGTTCTCCAGAAATGGAGAGGCTTCCTGACTGCATGAACATGAGGAACCCTGGACTGCTTGGTCTCAAATTTGTCTTGCCACACTTTAAGCAGGAGCTTGTTGTAATTGGAGGTTTACCGTGTATGCTGAGGGTACTTGAACACTTGGGATGTTCATTCCTCTGTACTTAAGAGTTAATTTGGGCTTTCCTTCTGACAGATTAGCTTTCCAGTAAAACAGAAGTTGTCACCCTAATGGCTAGTGGGAGTGCATAGTGGATAATTCCTCAGTTTTGATAAAATGTGAGTCTTCAAAGAACAGTTAGGTATCTCAGAACTTCATGGCAAACTACATGTTAAATATTTGTTCAACGCTGAAATATCTTACTCCTTCATGATCAAAATACTCTGGAATTTGAATTCCATTGAGTTTATGACAGTAGCCCTTTCATTCTAGTACAGAACAGAAGTAACCTTCTAAGAATCTAGATATGGCTGAACAGAAATTATTTTACCCAGCCCGCTCTAGGTTTGGTTACGCTTCAAGGACACGCTGTGATTCCCCCTTCAGGATCATGCAGTGAAAGGTACAACCTCAGTGGGATGCTCGCTTTGTCAGTCCTGAGGTCTTGTCAAGCTGATCACTAGTCAGTCATCAATTAGGCAGGCAGAGGTTTGCGTGGGAAGGGCACTGGGGTTTTTTCTTATTACACAGTTCATGGACCAGTAGGTAACAAGAACCTTTCTCAGGCTCTGTTGGTGTTTTTCCCTGAAAAACAACCCTCCATGATCACGTTGCTCTCTCTATTGGTGCTTGCATTTATTTAAACTGGATAATGTGTTTGCATCTGAATTCTAGCTATTTTCTAACCATGGCATATGAACATAAACTTCTCCATTACACTTCTTCTTTAATTTCCTTTATATTTTATGGAACATTATGACTTTTTTTTTAAGATTAATGTGTCAAAATAGATTTAAAATAGAACTTGGACTTGATTGCTTTTCAATGTACATTATGTGTGTATGATAGCAAAGACACCCAGTACACGAAGGAGTAGTCACAGCAGGCAGAATGCAAAAGGAGAGGTAAAGATAGTTGCCAAAAGTCATCCAGAGATTCAGTGGCAAAATAACCCAGAAGAACTGATATGTCTTCCCTTCCCGTTCCCTATCTGTAAGTTAGTGCAGCTTCCTGACATACTGGTCAGGCCTCACACTTGGTGGTTTTTTTAATTATCTCAGCTGCATGGGCCATCAGTCCAAATCTGTTCTTGCTTATGGACTACTACAGTGTGGGCAGAGCACTTGAGAATAAAAAGCCATCTGTGGCTGTATTTGTGATGTGACTTTTCACATCCCTACTTCCACTAGAGAAGGAGCTTTGTCAGCGTGACTGGTGGGGTGGAATTTCACACTTGGGTTCGTTGTGTTTGAGAGAGGAAAGATGCAGGTTTATTGATGGCTTTTGTGGTCTCAAAGCCTGATGCAGTTTATAGATCCAGAAGAAGGCTGAAGAATGTAGTCATGCTCTCACGCTGCCTGTTATGCCAGCCATTAACTGCTGGAAGGAGATCAGTATTGTGCTCATTGTCATTAAAAGGAAGAAATTAAACCTCCCTTTGTAGAAAAATCATACAAGGGAGATGTGCTTTTGCAGAGTGAGTCACCTCCTCGCTTTAACTTCTTCTGTTTAAGTGAAGGATAAATCTGTTCTTGATCTCATGAACAATGCAGGTAGGCAGGAGGGTGCTTTTTTCCTTTTTCCTTTTTTTTTTTTGCTTTCTAATCAAGTATACCTCATGACCTACTGCTGCTCCAAATCCATGAATATATGTATGAATGTATGAAAACTCTGTGCTTTCAGGATGTGTTATATAAAAACACCCCAGCATATCTAGATTATGTATGTTCAATTCACACAGCTGTTTTTGCTAAAAAAAAGTCTTTGCAGAGCCAGGCCTGATGTCAGAATCAAATATTTTGTAGTTGTTTGACTTCTAGTGAACAGTAAATTAGTATCTTGGCTTTAAAGTGTTTTGCTGTTAGTGACTGTACAGGTCACTCTGTACCTGTCACACCCCACCAAGTACTAACATTTACCAAACACCACACACATACCAGGAACTAGCAGAGGCAGAGCCAGCTGGTTTCTCCCCTAAGAAGTCACAGAGTTGTTGCCTGTAGGCCATCTGTGACAAGGTCTTAACTGTTTTCTAGCCTGGGATAAGGGTCTGTGTTCTGAACCCTTCTAAGCACACAGCTTCCATCACAGGAGTAGTTCATAAGCACAGCTTCCCTTTTCCCTTGAAACGTTCCAGCCACCTCCCTGCTGGTGGAAGAGAATTCCCAGAAGTGCATTTCACAGTGCTTTTTTGAGACTCGTTTCAGTCCAGAGCATCAGCCAGCCCTGCAGATGCTTTCATACATTGCAAATAGGAACCGTGGAAGTTCCTTTCAGAGTGCAAATGCTGATTACATTTTCTATGATAATCTATTCCCCTTCCCTATCTAGAATTCGTGTGCTGCTAGAAACCCTCTCTTTATACCACGATTTATCTCTTTAAGTGTCTGCTATGTAACTATGTAAATACTGGTGGCGTATCCCTGATAGAGAGATTGTCACTGCATTGCTACTGGTAACCAGTGGTTATGTCACTTTCCCTCGCTTGAATAGGCTTTGACTCATAGTGGTTTTCAGGACAATGGTTATAAAATAACACACCGAGGGGTTGCCGAGACTATAGTTTTGCAATAGAGACAACTGCTGACCTCAAGGCTGCAAGAAAGCATTTTTCCTTTTTTTTTTTTTTTTCTTAAGGGTTTTATTCTTTTATAGCATGAGATTTTCTTGCATGGAAGTTTGGAAAACAAGAAGTCTATGTTAGCAAGCTGGAGTCTGGTGGGAAAACCCCACACTCCCAAGCTAATTCTTTCTAGCTGTTCTGAAGCATTGCTTAACTGAAATTTTAAGTGCTTCAGCTGTCCTACCTTTCTTTGAACTGCTTGCTGTCAGGCTGTGCTATACTTTAGATTCAAATATGATTTAAGCAATGGCAGAAAGAAGTAAGGAAACCAGTAGTTCTTAAATTCTTTTTCCAATTAAAGGATTTGCCTAAGAACAACAGGTAGATATTGAACTCATTAATTCGAAGTGTATATTATTAAAAGTTAAGATCCAGAATTTAAGCGGCTTTAAGTTGTTTTTTATCTTGAAGTTCATCTGAACTTTGTCAAGTATCCTGTCTAAACAAGGTTTTACAAAACTCATGTTGCCTCTCCTTTCTTCCATCTTTTCTCCTGTCCATTCAAGCTCCATAGGCAGGGCTTGTCCCTTAATACCTGCTTAGCTCACACAGTCTAAGCTGGGGAGTCCAGACACTTCTGTAAGTAGGAAAATGGAAATTTATTCCTTCATCCCGTCCCTTGAGCTCCATGAGGAGGCAAGTAGTATCAGTGACAGGACATCCTCAGAAATTTCAAATTCTGCAGTGGATTTCAAGACAGCATGAAAAGTGCCCCACATTTTTAGAACATTTGAAAGGGTATGTATATATAACGTAACATGGACATTTCTGGTAACTATAGATATGCATGAAACTGCAAAAAAAAAAAGCATTTGACAACTTCTTTTAGAACAACTGCTTCTTTTCGATAGTAGCACAGGTGATTTTCTCCCTAGGCTACATTTAGCACAGACAGTTACACAACTAGTGCGATCCTCTCATCTAACAAGAATTGGTGGGAATGTGCAGATTCAAACGGTCAACACGGCTGGTCTTGAATAAAACAAAATACATCACGTGCTTTTTTCTAGAATCCGGCATGGACAGGTAGAGCTGTGCAACATGCCATGCCGTAAATAAATAAACCCAATAAAACTAAATAAACACAGCATTTTCCTTCTAATGTTTTCCTTAGTTGCCCTAAAAGCACGATTACCTGACATCAAAATAGCTTCACCACTACGTAGATTCCCTGAAAGGGACCGATTAACCGTGCAAGTACAAGGCTCTACAACTCCAGTTCTAGCAGGGAACGGCATCTCAAAACCTCTTTGAACCGCTGTTTTCTCCGTGTCACCAAAACGCCGAGCCCGGGAGCGAGCCCCGCGTCCCACCAGCGGGTCTGACCGAACTCCGAGCACGGGGCGCTCCCTTGGCCGCGCGGCTCCAACCCACCCGCCGAGGGGCGGACGCGGCCGGGCCGGGGGGTCTGAGGGACCGGGGGGGGTCTGAGGGACCGGGTGACCCCTCACGGGGCGGGGGGAGCGGGCTGGGCCGGGCCGGGCCGGGGCCGGCGCGTTACAAAACCGCCTGGTTTTGTAACAACCTGCGGGCGCTGCCCAATGAGCGGCGGCGCCGCCGTCACGTGCCCGCCTTTATATAAGCGTTGGCGGCGGCGCGGGGCGCTCCCGGCGCGGGGCGGCAGCAGCACCGCCATGGGCCGGCGGGGCCGCGCCGCGCCCCCTGCGCGCCCCGGCGCCTCGCGCCGCCCGCCCCGCTAGAGCCGACGGCATGGGCTCGCACCTGCCGCCGCCGCGCCCCGAGCCCCAGCTGGTGCTGCAGCTGGCGGCGGGGGCTCTACAGGCGCAGAACTTGGAGGCGCCGGGCGGCGGCCTGGGGCCCGAGTGGCAGGTGCTGCTCGGGCGGGCGGACGCGCTGGCCTTCGGCGGGCGGCTGCACGAGGCGCTGCCGCTGTACCAGCTGGCGTCCCGCCACCAGCAGCTGCGCGCCGAGCAGCTGGAGAAGCTGGTGGAGTGCCTGGCGCAGAGCGTCCGGATCAAAGAGGGGCTGCCCGCCGCCGGACACCCCGCGGCACCCCGCGAGTGGGACGTTTTCAGGTGCCGCAAGTGCCAGGGCTTCCTCTTCGAGCCCGTTTCCTTGCCTTGCGGACACACGTTCTGCAAAAAGTGCCTGGAGAGGGACCGGGCGCCCCAGTCCCGCTGCGTCCTGTGCAAGGAGGCGGGCGGCGCGGCGGCCGGGCAGCTCCTGCGGGTCAATGTCATCCTCAGCAACCTGCTGGCCAAGTGGTTCCCCTGCCAAGTGAAGGCTTCGCAGCTCCGGCACGAAGGGAACCTCCTCTACAAGGAGAAGAAGCTCCAAGCCGCCCTGCAGAAGTACAACGAAGCGGTCAGCCTAGGTAAGGGCTCTCCCCCTCCCCGGCGCTGCCCCGCGGGGGACGCGCTCCCGCAGCCCCCGGGGAAGGCAACTTTGCACCGGCCGGGGCTCGCCCGCGGCCACTCCGGTGCCTCTCGCCCCGCAGAGCCCCGGGCTCTGCCGGGGGCAGCCCCCGCGTCCGGGGGGTGTGCCGGGGCCGCGCTCCCGCCGCCGCCGGCCCCCCGCGCCGGGCCCTGGGGGAGTGTCGGGGGTGCCCCGGAGGGGGAGCCCCGGGGAGGGGTCGTGGCTCTTCGGCCCGCGGTGAAACTGGGTCAGGAGAGCAGCGGTTGCGTAAGCCGGAGCCTGCGGTCCGGCCGGGCTCCCCCCGGCCGGCGCCGTTGTGTAACCGGCGGGGCCGGGAGGGAGCGGAGCGCCGCGCCCCGGGAGGAGCTCCACAGGGGCCGGGGGCCGGTCCCCGCGGACCACCGCCAGGTGCGAAGGAGCCGCTCGTAGCCGGGCGCAAAGGGAGTGGCGGGGGATGCGTGTCCGGGATCCCGCAACCCCGGCTGACCCGGCTCGGCTCTCCCGCCCCATCGCCGGGAAGCGCCTGCGGGGCTGTGCAGGGAGAACTTTTTGACGAGGTCCTTTTAATGCAGTTTGAGGAAAAGCAACTCACACACTGCACGCAGTAAGGGGGAATTAGAGGCAAGGTATTATGAGTTTCACTTAAACGAGAAAGTATTCTCAGAAAAGTGCCCAGCCTTCCCTCAGCACACGTTTTGTCTCGATGCTACAACGCGCCGTGTGTGTAACTCGGTGATCAGTGTAGTGTTATCTGATTCTTCACACTGTCACTTCTTTTCCTGTGTTGAGCGATGGCACGAAGAGATCGCTATGTATCACTTAAAAACTTTGATGCCACGGATTTTGAAACTCCTCCCTACAGTATGCCAGCATTCCTCCTGCCGCCTTAAATGTCTCCTGTATGTTTCTACCAACCATCTGATCCTCAGTCAGCACTGGTAATTTATTGTGTGAGCGTCTCAGCATTTATTTATGCAATGTTCCCTGCAGTTATATAATACATAGCTGACATTTTGTCTGGAGTTGCCCAAAGAGGTTTCCAGATTTCATTTAGTACATAGTTATTTAAAAACTGGATATTTTGTGGGTTTGTGCAACTCAGAAGCACCAACATGTGTTTAACAAAAAAAAAAATTAAGGAGTAAAGCTTATGTAACTAATTTTTATTTTACTTAACCACTTTTTCTATTTCTTACAGCTCCAAATGACCACTTACTATATAGCAACCGGTCCCAGATTAACTCCACTTTGAAAGCTTGTGAAGATGCATTGCACGATGCAGAAACAGCGTGCAGGCTCCAGCCATACTGGTTGAAAGTAAGTTCTGACTCCAGTCTTACTTTGGTTTAAAATCTTGATACTACCCTGGTAGGAAATGGTTAGAATGGTCAGACAGCTGAATTTGAGGGAAGCTTTAAATCCTATAACTTCTTGGACCCTTGTTGTTTACAGACATTTAACCATGGTATTCTCAAGCTTCCTGAGGTAGAGAGTGAGAATCATGGAGCATGAGCTAAGGCTATTGTCTTTCACCTGGATGAATATCAAGTTCATGAACTCTCTCTAAAAATGAATGCTGTGCTTGTATCATTCTATAAGGACAAAATTACGATTTTAGGAGATTAATGCAGGGGAAGTAGATGTTTCCAAGATCATTTGGGCTCAGGTGCTGTGAAAGTCATATTTGCTTGAGTTGAAGAAGGAGTTTTTAGGACCATTGTGGTTAGAAACATAGAGTGGTGGTGTCTAGGTGTAAGAGATGCTTATAGTGACTTTTCCTACTTAACTTTTTCTTCTTCAGAAAGATCTCTTGTAATTTCATCATGATTTTATTGCCTATTTTCATGATAAAAGAAAAAATACTTCAGCTATGGATGTGTTTCCTTGCAGGGTCACCTGAGGAAAGGACAGGCATTAGCTAATCTGGGGAAAACAGAAGAAGCTTTAAGAGAGTTTCTATTCTGCCTTGCTCTAGATACTGGGAACAAGACAGCCAAGTCTGAGGCACAAAAGGTGAGTTCCCTAAATCATCTGGAACTGCATTATTGTTTTCAGTGGCCTTTCATTAAGGAGGATGGGATTATTTCTTTTCCCCTCTCTCATTACTGCAAAGAGCTGCACAAATCCAGTCATTTGAGTTGTATATTGCTCTTGAAGATAGGGAGGTAGCAAGAAAACATACTCAGCAGGTATGAGGTGGAAGCACTCAGGACATTAGCATCAGCAAATCTGAACTAAAACTGAGTTGTTAATAATTGCCACCCGCAGACTACTGTGATTCTCTGTAGTCAAATTTCTAATCTGATTCCTAGCCTGGCAATCTATTACCAATGATGGAGTGCAGAAGAGGGGGAGTTGCTATTGAATGTTGTATCAGGCCACTGACTGGCAGAATGCAACACGCAGCACTCATCAAACTCCACTTGGGAGCAGCAGCTTTCTTCCCACTGCCAGTCGTGCTGTGCCGAGTATCGGTGTGTGAAGGAGGCGTGAAAGAGGAAGCAGCCAACAGAGGAAGAGCTGTTTTTAAAATAGTTTTCTAAGGTTGCTAATAATTAATGCTAAGTAAGCAATGAAATGGATCTGCAGTGTGACTTTTTTCAGCAGCAGCCTAAGATGTGCGTGAATTCTTAAATGGCTTTTGTGAATACTGCTCTGTGTTGCACACCCCTCAAAACTCTGATTTCCTGTGAATCAGTATTTTGACATTTGACCGTTTTTTTTGTTGTTGTCATAGCTAAAAGGCTCAGTGTGGCAGTGATAGCTTATGGCAATAAAACCATAATAGTTCTATCTTCCTTCTATTGAATTTTCTTTTATGGCAGTGTATTCACCCCGTTCTCCATCACTGGTGGGGACAGGAGGTTTAGGGTTTCTGTGTGCTGTAACACATAAGGCTTTCTAAAAGTAGAATTCTTACAGTAAAGCACTGTTCATGAAGGTAACAGTATAACCTGTATGGCTGTAGCACAATCAAATTTCTATCTCATTTTAAATATGGTTGAGATTTCATTCTCCTGGGAGTTTTTTGTCACTGATGTTTGAGGGTTTTGTTTGCTGTTTTCCCCAGTGGGTTCCATGCAGTCTTTCATTGTCATTGTGTCATGCTTTGTGCTCATAGTCATGCTGGGAGACTCTGTGCACTAGAGCAAAAAGACAAGAAACAAACAGATATGTTTCTAAATTCTGGCTCCGAATAGCCCTAACCACGACACTTGATTTCTGAGCAGTGGGGTTCTGAGAAAAACTAGGCTTCTTATGACCGAAAGAATTACTCGTGCACTCATCAGACACAGAGTTCATCCATGATGCAATGTTTTACTGGGTCATTTCCAAGGCTGTTTGCATAACAATGACATACTACGTTTTACCAAATTCTTTGGGTGCAGCTGTGATGTTCTGCTTGTATTAACTGTCTGCACATGTTACTTTGAACACGGTGTGATCCTGTGGAATCCTTTTTGGCTTTAAATAGAAATCTTGGCTGTCATGTGGCTTCCTCAGACATCAGCAGGATCACCTCAGTAGTATGTTGAAATTAGTTTTTGAAGTGTGAATCTTCTATTCAGCTCTGTTTCTTTCCTTAAATAATCATCTGATAAGCTATGCTATACAAGGGGCTTCAAGCTGCTACTTGAAACAGATCCACTTATTTTCTTATAGCAAATAAAGAAATAGCATTTTTCTACTGCCTACCTTTTTTGTATTCCCACATAAGTGAATTAAAAATAGCTACAGTTTACAATATCAGAGACATTTACTCAACTGATCTTGGATTAAGCCTGTGAGAGATGAGTGCTTTCTTTACTAGTAAACTCCAGTGAAAGCTTCTGATGTGCAGCAAAAAAACGTACTTAAGAAAGATGGTAGTAATTTCTGGTGAACTTTGAACTGCAGGACAAAAACGACAAAGGCATGTTGTGTGTCACATCAGAGAATGATTAATAACTTTATGGGCTTATTTAACTCTGAAAATGTTTCTTGCTGTCTGTTTGGCCTGTATTGCCATAGCTCTTGATCTTTTTGTTCCTACCCTAGTCT